GTTCGGCGGAGGAGGGGGTGCTAGGATAACAAGTCATAGGGAGGCAGACATCTCCCCCACCCTTGCTAGCGATTTCCTCCCCCGCTCACCCGTCCCTCCCCACCAGGTCGGCAGATAAAGCCGGCCTGGAGAAACAGGAACATCTCCCACAGACGCTGGGAAAAGAGCCAAGACGTCTTGGCTCCCAGCCCCCCCAGCTCTAGCCCACTGGACCCCACTCCCCTCCCAGAGCCAGGGAGAGAGTCCTGCGCACTCCAATCCCTGAGCATCATTCATCCTGCAGCCCCCTGGGGCGGTTTTGTGCCAGATACCCCCACCCCCGGGTGGCGGGGGGGGGAGTGAGGCATCAGTGTCTCTTGGGCTTGACAGAGTCCAGCGCCCTCTGGGCAGCGCTCAGGTGCCCCCAGGCATCGAGGAGGAGGATGGAGGGGATGACGATCCACAGGGCGTTCATGAAGACGAAGTAGAACCAGAAGTAAAGCGGGTGCCACATCTCGCTGTGGGCGAAGCCCTCTCGGTACTCGGTGTAGAAGTACAGGACGTCGCCGTACAGCTGGCCTGGGGGGGGGAGGAAAGGTCAAGGGGTCAGATCGAGGAGAATCCAAGGGTCATGGAAAGATCAGGGGACATCTGGGGTCCAGGCTAGGTCAAGATAAAGCTGATCTGGGACCTTTGACCATCAGCCCCTGGGCCATTCTACAGCCAGGGAGAGAACCCAGGAGTCCTGCCTCCCAGCCCCTCCGGTTCTAACCACTAGACCCCCCCTCCCCAAGCCAGGGAGGGGACCCAGGCATCCGGCCGCCCTTACCCAGCGACACCACCAGCTGCAGGACGTAGCGGTGGGGCTGGCGCTGGAGGAAGGCCAGCACGGTCCAGAGGCTCAGCGGGCCCCACGCCCAGGCAGTGATGGTCTCCATGCACACGGTGAAATTGTCCTCTCTGCAGACAGAGGAGAGAGGCACCCAAGGGTTAACCCAACTTCTAAGGCCCCCCCGTTCCCATCCCTCCCAGCCAACCATGCGTCTCAGCTCGCACCCCATTGGCCTCAGTTTCTCCAGCTGTACCACGAGGAGAATGGTCCTGCCTGGGTGTGTTTAGACTGGAAGCTCTTTGGGGTCTCAGTGGGGGGGGGGGTCTGTGTAGCGCCAGGCACAATGGGGGGCTTCATGCACCCAGCAATGCAAGGGCTGTGATCTCCCTCTGGGAGGGGCTGTGCGGGGACCGGGGCCCCGATCTAGCGGCTGGTGGGGAGGGGGGTTATGCAGCACCCAACAGGGGCCCTGCTCTCAGGGGTGGGTCCGTGCAGCGCCTGGCACGACAGGGCAGGTTCTCTGGTCTCTGTTGTCCGGGAAGTCGGATGTGCTGATCACAACGGCCCCTTCTGTCCCCAGAACCTACCAACCCACGAGCGGCGTGGCTGTGAAAAGGCCATGGCACGATGCAGCAAACCCGGCTGATCTTTTGGGACCTGGCAAGCTACATTCCCAGGATGTGTGGGGGAGAAGCGGGTGGCACCAGCGCCCCCGCCCCACAGACTCAGCCTTCCGAACTTCACCCGGAGATCGGGGAGGGAATTGGGGGGCCAATCTTTAGACTGACACCGCCCCTGGTTGATTTACGTGTCGCTTCTTTGGCTGTTTTCCCCGCAGCGCTCCTGCCTTACGGCTAAAAGGGGCTTCCTCCGAAGGGCTGTGTGTTATTGATCGCCGAGGAGAAAGCAAGTAGCCCTGGTTAGCTAGCCCGTCGTTTGCTGGGAATAACGCAATGAAGGCAAGGGGCGGTCACCCGGAATTGGCCTAGCTTCGACTTCGAGCCGTCGGATCGGGTTTGACCTTCCTCTGCTCGATCAAGCGCCCGTTCTCAAATGTTTGTTCCCTGCGTAGATACGACCAGGATCCAATCACCCTTCAGCCGTCTCTTCGTTCAGCTCCATAGCTGG